CCGCCACCGCCACCACCACCACCACCACCACCACCACCACCACCACCGCCACCACCACCACCACCACCGCCACCACCACCGCCACCACCACCGCCACCGCCTCCTACTCCTACATATTTACCACCATCACCGCCACCGTCGCCTCCACCACCACCGCCTCAACCAACGAGAACCTACTTACCTCCCTCAACCCCACCTCCCCCGCGAGTTTCTACACCAGCACCAACATATCTACCCCCGTATGGACAAGAAGTCCAGGAATTTGCTCGAACTACCTACACATCTAGTACCGCAACGGCAAGACCATCGTCAAACACGGTGCAAATAATCGGACCAACCGGGCCAACGACGAACAATTACGGTGGATCTAGTACTGCAAGTCGTTCATCGTACGCTCCTTCATATAGCTATTCAACGCAGCGTCCTACAACCACTGGATATAGTTATCCTACACCAGCTCCTGCGCCTAGTTATCCTGCACCAGCTCCTGCGCCTAGTTATCCTGCACCAGCTCCTGCGCCTAGTTATCCCGCACCAGCTCCTGCACCGACTTCCGGCTACAGCTATTCTCCAATTTCGAGACCCAGTTACCCCGCTTCCGCTCCCCCGCGTACGTACACCGCAGCTCCTAGTTATCCAGCACCAACTTCACGGCCAGCTTATTACGCATCACGACCTGGGCCACGTTATCTACCTCCAGTCTCGTAGACTATACCGGAACTACGACCTACCTAGCCAATTTGTCTTGGATCCTCAACCTAGTTACTGTTCTCTGTCAGGATAGTTGTACCGTTACCTCGCTGTTATCCGGTGTCAGATCACCAGAGTCCAATTACCAATTATCCTGCGCTATCGTAAAAGTCATTGCAGACCATTGCTCTCTCCGTTATTTATCCCAAGGCTGCTTTGAATTAGAATTACTCACGTAGCAACGTATTCGCGGCGCAATGATGAACATTGTAAAACATGAAATAGATACGTGCCATGGTCGTCGAAATGAGAACACCGCGATTCGATAGGACAGTAGAATTTACTGGATGCGTACGATAGATTATGAGTTATCATGGAACGTTTTTAACATTTGTAACTGTAAAATACACGTGACTTGTATCGGACGTGATGTCGTGTGTGGTATATCTTTTGCGATGTATATGTATGTACACTTCATGAATCCTTTGTCATTGTAAGACAGAACTTTTGTATCCGATTAATACGAACGAATTGTTCAAGATTTTTGAAATTGAAGGTACACCTTCTCATTTCTGTCATTGCGAAGTAGAATCTCTCTATCCAATTAATAAATTGTAAAATGATTGTAAAAGATTTTTGAAATTAAAGATACATTTTCTCCGTGTGAAGAAGACATTGATTATTTTACACTTGTAATCGACACAAGGTGTCTCTGAATTCACGGTATTTCAAGCTTTCAAATAGAAATTTCTCGACTGAAAATAAAGTAAGTCGTAGAAGCAAAATTTAGAAAAATCAATTTTTCATTCAATACTCAGTGTATTCAGTCTACAAAGTGTACAATAAAATAGTTTGGTTATTAAAGTATCGAGCGATGAAAACGCTCGCATTTTTTCGTTCAAGGCACGCATCCTTTAGTAACAAATAGAATAACTAACAATAAAAAGATACTTAACTCTTAAGTATCTCGTCAAGTAACTCACGTTACAGCTCTGTGCATTTGTCGGATATCTTCTTCGACATCAAATGTTCATGGATTAATTTTGTGCGACTAATGCGTTATAGCATTACTGGCGCACAACTGGCCACTGTAGATATAGAAACATTCACGATGAAAGTAAGTAAGTAGAT